CGAGACATAAACACTCTATTGTTTTTATTGTTCACCACTAAATTTTCTTCCGTGCCTACAGCTTGTCACAAATGTCAATAATTTGCAACCGAACATTGGCTAAATAATATGTTATACCTGTCTGAATTGAAAAGTCACTGTTTTTCCAATCTGCCTAACTTCGCGGCCGTCAAACTATTCAAAAATTTTCACGGATGAGTACTATCAATCTAGGTATTTTCCATGGACGGGCACTATCCATCTAGGTATTTTCCACGGGCGGGCACTATGGGCTGATGGTGTCTCTCCACGGATGAACACTATCGCATCACGTGACTGATTTAAACCAATAAGAACCGGAGAAAATTTAGTGGTGAACTATAATGAGTTATGGATGCACTTGGGAGGTTTGCTAAGCACTCAAAAAGCTTGAGTCGCTCTCGGCTATCACCTCGCATGACTCTTGTGCTTCTTACGTGCTTAGTAACCTCCCGCGTGCATCCATAACTCAATAGTGTATGCTGTGGTGTTTAACATTTGTTAACTAGTAAGTACCCTGAGAAATGGTTGAAAGAAATAGAAAGCAGTAAGGAGAACTTGCAAAGGATCAAAAGGATTTATTGAGGAGTTCTTATCAAGGACCTCTTGATGATATAAGAGAAATGTCCATAATGGCAGTAGAATCTTACCAAAATTGTGAGTAAGGTTGAGAAAAACTTTGAGAATGCTGAAGAAGCAGTCTTGAAACACCTCATCAGGTTTTTTCTTGGCTTTCTTTGAGGAGACACCATTGTTGAGTATGTTTAGACACATTTGTAACAATCTGTAAAGAAAAAAATCATTGAAACATGATTGCACTTTAGGACAACATTTATCATAACAGTATAACTATAATACCTTATGGCTTACAGGCCTACAGCCAAAAAGTGTAATGAGAAATAATGAAAAGTTTTCCACCCCCAAGTTTTTTCAGGTCTCATGAAGAGTTTATGGCCCTTTATGGAGAGATGAGTTACAAAATGAAACTCTCTTGTCCTGAAACAACAAAAATTGCTCCTTCACAGCTCCAACCCAAGTCTCTAAATTGAAATATTTGAATTAACCAATAAAAGAGTGGGAGAATTGGTTCTCAGGTTGTAGGGGTAAACTCGCAATGAAAAAGAATCGATACTTTGATGTAAGAGCTTGTTTACCTGACAAGGCTTGAAACAAATGACCCTTTTTCATACTGAATCATATGCTTTTGATTATTCAAATTCTGGATTGTAACCTGCAGTAGAGATTAGAAAATATAAAGAGAGGAAGTATGTTAACTAATTCAAAGGCAAAATAGAAAACAAACAGAAACAGAATAAAAAAAAACATTCCACTGACTATACACTATATAGTTTCCTATGGTTGGATGATTTGTTTAAAAGTTTTCAAACCAGTTTGATTTTAATCCTCCATGTGATACATTCAATATAAAAATCAAAATTGTTCTGGTTTGAAAAACATCTGAAAAAAATTGGAGTTTTTGGTGCAGAATTAAAAACTACTGATATCTCCTTGTTGACATTTGTTTTAATTCCCATCATCTATCTGCTTATTAGTAGGAAAAACTGTACCTTGGTCACTCCTCAGAGTTAAGACTTAAACTTGCTAATCACAAGTTTAAGGTGGGTGGATATCGGGTACAATGGAACCTTAATTTAACGAAGTGCCAAGGGACTAGAGAAGTTGGTTTGTTATATCAAGGTGCATTATATCAAGATTCTGTGGCATACATTTTACCATAACTCTAGCAAGNTTATGGTAAAATGTATGCCACAGAATCTTGATATATAATGCACCTTGATATAACAAACCAACTTCCCTAGTCCCTTGGCACTTCGTTAAATTAAGGGTCGACTGTACCCGATATCGACCCACCTTAAACTTGTGATTAGCAAGTTTAAGTCTTAACTCTGAGGAGTGACCAAGGTACAGTTTTTCCTACTAATAAGCAGATAGATGATGGGAATTAAAACAAATGTCAACAAGGAGATATCAGTAGTATTTAATTCTGCACCAAAAACTCCAATTTTTTTCAGATGTTTTTCAAACCAGAACAATTTTGATTTTTATATTGAATGTATCACATGGAGGATTAAAATCAAACTGGTTTGAAAACTTTTAAACAAATCATCCAACCATAGGAAACTATATTTAAGTCCATTTACACACTGAAAAGGAATCCTGTAAACCCAGCCATACAGTAGTGAAGTTAACAAATCAACAGTGGTTAGGTATGGTCTGTACTCTTACCGCCATCAATATTCATTTCACAGCGGTCAAAATGTTGCAGAGGTTCAGCTAAGGGATTCCACAAAAATTTTGATCACTGTGATGACGAATATCATTGTCAATAAGAGTAGAGACCATAGTAAAACACTGTCGATTTGTTTTTTTACTACTAACAGTATCAAGGTCAAATAAAACCATCCTTTCAGTGAGTGACACATTGACACAAACAGCATTGTTTGCATTCTTATCATCACTATTGCCAATTTTTGGTAAGGTAAAGTCTGTTTATGAGCCTAGTGGCTCATTAGGCCGGTGCTTAACTCTGGTTTCTGTAGAATGAAGCGACTAGGAGTATTTCTACTCCCCCCTGGATGGGATGCCAGTCCATCGCAGGGTTACCCCCAGCATTAAATTTGCCCGTACCCATTTATACACCTGGGTGAAGAGAGGCACTGTGAGAACAAAGTGTCTTGCCTAAGAACACAACACAATGACTGCCAATTGTAGTAATATTATAAATGATTTGTTTGTTTGTCATTACAACCATAAGCAGAATCTGGATCCAACTGGTGCATCCTTGTTTTTCATTCAATAATTAATGTGTTTTCACTGTCCTCTGCTGCTTTTTGTGACCATCTTGCTGACATTGTGCAAAAATTATAACTTTGTAAATCTGCTCCAACCTGTGTTCATTATATGATCCAGTCCTTGCAGGACTCTTATTTCTTCCTTAAACCATTCCCCAATCCTCTGAGATGCCAGTGAGAGCAAAGATTCACACACTAGTGAGGCAGGCTGTGAAACACATATTAACCTTGGGTCAGCATTCGAAGAAAAGATAATAAGTATCAAATAATAGTAATCAAATTAATTTATGATTGTGATTCCTTACAAAAAATAGATAACTTACATTTATGTCATCATCCCCCATTTCAAGTAGCTCCTCAGATACACTTTGCTTCTCAAGTAAAGTCCTACAATGTGAACAATTTTTGAGGTTTGGTGTTAGAACAACCTCCCTTAACTCAGTCTTCAACTCCCCCGAAAGATCAAGACAGAATTTCTCCTTACAATATCAATACAATATCAAGCAGACAAGTGTTGAGAATAAAGAAAATAGCGATCAAGGGATAATAATAAATTGAAATTCTCCAAACTAACATCATGAGAATTGTATGGTATACAGATAGGAGAATTATTAATGAGATCTGGCAATGAAAGGGTTAAAGATGTAAAGAAGTAGAACAGAAATAAGAAAACAAAAGCCACATTTTTCAAGGAATTGTGCATTTCTTACTCCTACTAGCTGATTTTTTTTCTGTGTTCAAGTGGTTGCCTTTGCCGGTCTATTATGTCTTATTTAGGTTGAAATTTTCATAACTTAGTGGTCATATGATAAAATTTTTATCAACTGACTTTGGTTGGGCTGGACAGGAAAATATTTGGCTCTCAGTCATGAGGCATGGACCTTGCTGCGCTTGGTGTGTGCATCGTGACCTTGAACCAAATATTTTCTCACCCTGCTCTACCACTCAGTTAATAAGTACAAAATAATTATTATCACAACCTGCCAATGATACCACTTCCTTTCCTTACACGAAAATATGAGTGACTACAGTGACTGTAGGTTGCAGTTGGTTACGGCAAAAAATATGGCTGGACAAGAGGGAGCACAAGGCAAGTGTTTTAATTTATGTCAATTGCCATCAATGAACTTTCCGTAAAGCCAGCTTTAGATATTATTTTAAAAACTTCTCACTTTAAAGATATTTAATACCAATAGAGCTTTATGTCAGGAGCTACTAACCGCACTTTGGAGATGTATTTATTGTAATCTTTGAGTGATTTTGATTGCTTGTTCATGCTGTCCACAGCTAAGAGTTTCATCATGAGTTCTGGAAAGTAATTAAAAATAATTTAAGGATCAATTCAAGTGTGTTGCTAAAACTGAGATAAACACTAGTAAGGTGGCCTTTCTGGGCCATAACTCACTGCTGTATACCATCGTACACAGGTACATGTACCTTGAATGATTTCTACAGCTCTTATAAAAAAATCTCACCATCAAAATTAAAATTCTTACCAAGAACTGATCTGTCAAGGTCAGCATTTTGACGGTCTTGGGATAGCATCAAAGTAATGGCTGATGTACAAAGTGCTAAGCACTGTCAACAATCAAAGATAAAATAAAAAGTATTATTTAGTAACTTGCACTATGAGGGCAGTAGTGGAAGAGAAGTGTTGACTAATAGTACAATACTGAGCAAAGTACAGAGAAGAAAGAGAACATTTCAGTGGTTGTGAGCATTACGTTTGTGAATTGTTCCTGAGACTTATACAAAACCTACCTTATCTGAAGGCGCATCTTGAAGAGCTGAAAATATTTTGGGTCCCATGCCATGGGCACGAAGGCTCACTCTGAAAGAGGGCTGGGCACAGTGTGATGCAAAATCCAGGGCACTGATACAGCGGGTCGAAATTGAACGGGTCTCTTTGAGACCATCCAGAAGGTATTCCACATCATCAAAAAACTGAAACAAAAATATATTCACTGCTATGTCAAAGTGATATCACTTAATTTTATAAGGGAAGCAGGCTGCATAACATAAACTGCAAAACATAGCCCTATAATGAATGCCACAAATGGAAGCAGACTTACAAATAATTAATGTAACCCTTTAGTCAACGCTGTATCCAATTAAAGACATGCAGAATTTAACGTTGTTGCTGTTTTGGTTGCCTAAGGGCAGAGAAATTGAATTTCACAAAAGGTTTACCTGCTGATCTTCTCCTGACTCCAGGCACTCATGGACTTGTTTGACATTCCTCACTACTGTGAAAAGCTGGAATTGAAAGACAACATTTGTCAAATTGATTTGAGACATCGAAAAACTTGAAGGATTTATGATGTCTTTGTATACATCAGATCTAAAAGATCTGATGTATACAAAGACCAGGAAATATCAGGAGTGAAAATTGTAAAGGATAGGTAAGGACACGTGAACAGCCCTAAACGTCTAAAAACTTAACTCAAGCCTTGATCCTTAAAGTTTTTAAGAAATCCTAATCATGAATCAAGGTTTGAGTTAGTTTCAAGGGCCACTCAGCTCAGAGTACATTTGAGCAAGGTTAAGTCATTCAAATGATGGAGAACCCTATCATATGAATAAAATCGCTATCGAGAAGATGAGTGTTACTTAATAGTACTGTACTTGCAAACACAGACTTATGCAACTTACTGGTTTCTCTGTTCTTTTAACTCTGATTGCACTGGGAGAATCAGTGTCTTTTCTTCGTGGTAAACACACAGCTGGAGCAAGACTTGGAGTATCAGAAGCTGCTTCGTCCTGGGACTCTTCACTAAAATCAGCACTTGTGGGCTTAAAAAAAAAAACTAAGCTTTAGTTTGACCTCACTATATCATGAATCAGCCATTTATCAAGTTATATACACCATCTCTGGGGAGAATGGCACCAAATTAATATAATGTGGATCATCAAGTCTCCAGGTATCCTCAGGTATTCTCTTATTCAAAAATAGCTTTCATAGATGGATCTTATTGTACTTCCTTTATGCAATCAGACTTTAAAAGGGGTCATTGAGAACTAACACAACTAAATCTCTTTGTACAATCTTGAGTGAGCCAAGAAATAACTATATTCAACTCTTTGAGACTGTAACAAACATGATTAGGACTTCCACACCTAATTTTACATTGTACCAGAAAATACTCAACTGTTGATGCCCTGTAGGCCACAGAAATTTTCTCTGTGTTTTCCCTTTTTGATTATCATAAAATTGACTTAAGAAAAGCTTGGTCTCTTCTTCGAAGAAGGATCATTTTCAAACCTTGAAACACAACCTTAGAATTAAAAACAACCAAAGCAAAACCTTACTTACAAGTTTCACATCATATTACATCCCCATTCTACTTCTAAACTCCCTCCTCTCCAGACTACGATAAAAATCTTACCAAGGCTGAGAGTCTCCTTGATTTGTCTTTCTTTGGTGACAGAGATTTATCATTATTCTTCAGAAAACTCTTAAATGGTGACTGCAAGGTGAATTGGAGAGTCACATGAGTCACTTAATAAAGGACCTTTCTTCAGAGTATCAAAATTGAGTAAAAAGAGAAAAATTTCACTTGGATTTTTGCACACAGGTTCTTGTCCTTGAGTTATGTTGCAAGAAACCAATTTTTCAAAACAAAACAAAAAAAGAAACAAAAAGATGTAGGGGTGACAGAAAAAATGGGTTCACTACCATTATTTGATAATCATGTTTCAATATGAGGACAGAGAACACAAACAGGCCAAATGAAGGGTACAGAGTCAGTCAACTTTCGCCCCCAAGATATAAACATCAATTCTTTGCACTGTCTGCCCTCATTCCTTAAAATCCAAGGCTGAGAATTTGATGTTAGATCAACAAATGTCCCTTAACTGATATTTCTCTCTCTTCACATTATCCAACAGCTAAAACTGTACTAATTCTTCGAGGAGGAATTCCTTTTTGGTAACTCCTGGAGATGAAAACCTGTTTATATAATACTATTATCATATTATGACCTCACCGAAGTAAGCTTCTTCTTGTAAGAATAGGTGGTTTTCCTTTCGCTTCCTTGAGATGAATTTTCACTAAATTCTTGAGAGCTGCTATAAGCTTCATCGTCAGTACTTTTATCAGTCACTTCTGGCGCGATCGTTTGCTTCGCTGGTGCAATAGCGTTACTTTGCAAAGCACTTTTCTGTGAGTATGATATCGTCACGTCATCTTCGTCGAAAGCGTACGGGTCTTTCTCGTCGATCGTGCCTAATCTTCGCCGTTTGCCTGTCTTTAATGAATCCACACCCCCTACCTTTGTCAAACCAGCATTTTTTTCGATAATTCTGCTTGTTCTAGCCCATGGAGACTTCCTTGACGCCCTTCTTGAGAAAGTGTTTTGCCCTGATGTGACGTTCGCATCCGAATTCTCAATGTGCTGAATCTCATCAAATTCCTTGGAAAGTTTTGATTCTTTGGCGCGATTACGGCTGTATGTCTTGGTGCCGTATTTCGGCATGAGTTTATCTTGGTCACAATACTTGTTTGGAGGCAATCAAACCAAAATTTCGCGTGAAATCATAGCGAATTTACACACAAACGGTTTCCCTCTATCCAATTCATAATTTACCGGGAAGCAAACTGCGCATATTATTGTTGTGAAAGCCGCTGTCATTTCGTAACCTTTATGGCGCGAAAAAAAAAACAGGCAGGACCGCACTGCGTCCAGACGCTTGAGTTTTCGATTAAAATATGCTTTCCTTCGCGGCAGAGCTGGTGTCACCTTCGAATCTCCACGAGTATCAGAACAGTGTTCTCCAGCACACAAAATTTTGATTATTTTTATAAGGGACAGCAAGTCTCATGCACAAATTATTGATATTTTCGGCGAATTTCTGGTATGAATTTTTTTCTGTCAGGGAGAAGATAATTTTGGTTTCTGAGACAAAAATTGTGCATGATTTATTTTAGTGCAGTGTATCGATGAGCCAGATTTGGATTATAAAGCTGCCCTAACATGCAAATTTTCCTAATTTGTTATTAGGAAGAGGCAGATACTTACTTTGGTGTAAAGTGAAATGAAACATTTCTTGCTTTGACAACTTTGAGTGTTTTGGGTTGGAACTGCAGATTTCAAAACTTCAGCGTATATACAGTATAGCTGGCGGTTTTGGATGTATTTTGAGTGCTGAATGAATCGCCTAAGCGAGTAACGAAGTGACATGATCCATGATCCTTATAATGGAGCTTCACCTCCATTATTTATATCTAACTAACCCACAAGCTAAGTCATTCGAGCTAAATACAGTTCAGAATGCTTTATTTTCATCGGATCCACGCCAGAAAATCAGACTCAGCTGACTGTAGCCAACAAATTCTCGTCTCGGAAATCAAACTTCCGTCGGCGGAGAGGCCATTTATATTATAAACCATAGCTTATAGTCAAAGCTAAGGCTGATGTATCTTAAATATTGAATTTGAAGAGCGAGTGGAGCATCGGGTTGAGTTACGAAATCATCCTTATTTCTTCTTGCTTAGAACTAGCTGAGGAAATCACCATGTATTCTGATCCCTCAGTCTTATCCCTTAATCAAAGATATATCTTCGAAGACAAGGCCTTCTTCAGATGTGTAGTCATGCTTTTAATATTGAAAGATATTCTTGATCATGAATAAAGGTTGATAGTTTCTAAAGAAACTGTTTGGGACTGCGTCGGTGGGGGTAACGAAATAATTTGGATATATCAACAAAGTTGAAATGGTAAATTGGCCACCGTAACGATTACAAAAGCTGACGTTTCGAGCGTTAGCCCTTCGTCTTTCGCTCCGACGAAGGGCTAACGCTCGAAACGTCAGCTTTTTTAATCATTACGGTGGCCAATTTACCATTTCAACTTTGTTGATATATCCAAAGTATTCTTGATCATGTCTTGATGAAACAAGAAATTTCTTACGCTGCCGCGACCTTGGGTCAAGAGACTTGCTATAACACTTCCTAATATGCTAGACGCGCTTGAAAGTAACGCAAAGCGTGACAAACACCACTACACACGCGAGACACGAGTCCAGTTCGTTTTTGTTGTAGTCATTCTTAATGTTTCTTTTGTATTTACTTGATAAAAAAGTTGTTTTCAGTAACATGTATGGCTAGATGCTAAGTTATAATCGGCATGTCTTGTAATATAATGGTTCGTATGTATTTTTTACAACGTTCCGATCCAGTCCTCTAAAGAGGAGTGTAACGCTTCGTGGTGAACATCACACTACTCGATACCTTTATTCTGGGTGCTAATTGACAGTTTCTCGCCCTGAGAATACAAGGAAACAGGGAGTGGTTCCTAGCTGCGATTCGTTGGTTCCACTAAAATCATGATTTAACGATCGTCCGTCTCGCGGGACGTCAACCCAATGAACTTTCGTCAAACTGAATACTGAATCCGCTTCTCTTCAAAGTTTTCATTAGACTGAAAAACTTCTCGCCAAGCCAATGTGTCTTGTTTTCAGAATGCTTTTTATTTTTCATCGGATCCACGCTAGAAAATCAGACTCAGCTGACTGTAGCCTACAAATTCTCGTCTCGGAAATCAAACTTCCGTCTGCGGAGAGGCCATTTATATTATAAACCATAGCTTATAGTCAAAGCTAAGGCTGATGTATCTTAAATATTGAAGCTTAGGACATAGTCTAAAAATATAAACGACAAAACATAGGTCAGACAATTCAAAACATCCTGTTAAACAGCTTTTTTGAAATTACTCTACATGAACACGATGTGACCAAACTAAGTTGAGAAAGACCAACATAACGCACTCCAGTACGGACTCATTTATTCAAAAAGACCTTTATGAGACTAACATGTAACAATATGTTAACTTCACACTGGGACTCATCCAAACAAGTTTAATTTATTACAATAATCCGAAGGTACTTCGATTAATAGTGACGCCACTTCTAACATTGTATTAGTTATAATTATTCATTGCTATTTTTTGTCATTCGAAATTCGCCGTCCGTTTCCACGTTTTACAAAGTCCCCTCCATACGATCGCTTGTACCTTTTAGGTGCCACTAATTTAGGCTCGATTACCAGCCGCTGCCTGGGGGCCGGAGCCCGCGTTCCCCCTCGAAAAGACCCTTGGGGTGGAACCAAAAGACCGGACTCGTACTGTCTGCCATACAATCCTTATATTGTTATTTCGGAGAATTTGCGGGCATTGGATCAACTATCAGAGATTATATGGTTATATAAACTAAGTTGAAATTGCAAATTGGCCACCGTAAAGAGTCAAAAGCTGACGTTTTTAGCGTTAGTCCTTCGTCATTCGCTCCGACGAAGGGTTAACGCTCGAAACGTCAGCTTGTTAACTCTTTACGGTGGCCAATTTGCAATTTCAACTTAGTTGATAGAACCAAATTACCTTGTTACGCACCCCCCGGCCCCGCCGACGCAGCATCACAGTTTCTTCAGAAACTTTCCCCCTTTATGAGAGATTATACTTTTCTCCATCAACTAATAATTCCGTAACTGATATTTTTCTAAATTCTCATTACTTGTCTGCTCGATATTGTGCTAACATTGTAAGGAGAAATTCTCAATCTCGTTCCCAGGGCCTTTTCCCTTAGTCCCAACTAAGGGAAAAGGCCCTGGGAACGGGGTTGGAGAAATTCTGCCTCGGTCACGTACAGGAGTTACAGGGGCTGTCCACTTTTGAATTTCAACCAAGGCCTTTTACTTTTCATTTCTCTTACTGTCCGCCTCTCCTGCTCGTAGGGTGCCTTGAAACAAGCAATGAAAGTATCTTTGCTCTGAAATCCCCAATTGGTGTAAATAAATGGATGGGGAGATAATCTTATTGTGTATTACGAAGTACTAACTTATCAGTTAAAATGACAAATATGGGTTTCCTCTATTAAACTCAAATTCCATTAGCCTTCAGTCTGCAATAAATCATTAAGATTCTACCTTAATGCAATTCTAAAAGAACTTGAATGATAGAGAATACTACAGTCCTCTTTTCGAGCGTAATGGACGTAATGTATCTCACGTGCAACACGCGGGAAATGCGGTAGTCTCGCGCGTACGTGGGAAGATCCAGAGTCGTGAAGCTGGTGATAGACGCGATAACAATTCTTCTAATTAACCAGCATGTTGGTTGGCTTTTACAGCTTTTATAGTGACAAGTGACTCGTGTTATTCCATGACATGTTTCAGTATACGGTGCCACAATGTCTTGAAACAAGATGTGATCCTCGCAACCCTTGACATTTTATATCGTGCAGGGCACACGCATTCATCAGTGACAAGTCAATATCAGCAGGGACAGAAATCTGCTTACGTTCGCCGCTATCGAACAGATCCACTTGATAGCGATTTCCTTGTTAACTTGTGTCTGTCAAGCTGTCGCCAGCCGGTCTAGAGATTGCCTTATCGGATGCTATTCCACTTGCACCTTGTCGCCACAGAATAACGACGCAAAAAACCAACCGGCCATGCTACACACGAAATGAGTACGCGCCTTTAGCAATTTCCACCGATTGCTGATTTTCAACGACACCAGCCTGTTTTGATAGTATGCTTCGTTAGTCATGTGTTCCGTTGTTGTAAAAGCTTTTATTCATTCCTCCTTGAGGGATATTTCAAGGATACTTCAGTTTCAGGTGCTACATGTTGCTGCAAAATTGTCAATTCGTCTAAAAAAAATGACGCTCACTGTCAAACTGAGGTAAACCTTGAATTGTATTTTGAGATTCTAGAAATTTCTTCTCCATCCGACGTGTTCCGCTGTTGTCAGGCTAAGAAACGATATACGAAAAAGCTTTCAAAATTTTTTTTTGCTAATCATGTTATGTTATCATCTTATTTCTCATAAATCTTTCCAAACCGTTTTCTTTCTCGAAATTTCAAGCTCCCAAAAGAGTAAATTGATTAATCATTTTTGTTACCATTCCGAACAAAGTTGGTCCGAAGCGTATTACTAAGTTTATTGTTTGACAAGTTAATACTACATAATTTGGCTGATACAACAGTACTAGAACTGAAGAGGGGAAATTAATGGTAGGCTTTTGACATTTCCTTTCTTCTTGAATGTAAACTTCCCGACAATTGACTCATCCCGATCGAAAGAAAACTCATTACACCAGCAGTTAAAAATAGACATGTGATAAGCGAATTTTATGTTATTTATTAAATTCAAGGAAGAGTTTTTTTTTTGTCGCAAAACCAAGAATTACCAGTCTAGAATATGTTTCAACGATAAATATGTTAAAATGGCTTATTTTATTCTGTTTTTCTAAGCCAGTTGTCGGTTTAAGTTTTTTTTTTTTTTTTTCATCTCGACGCATCGGAAAGGATAAGAAAATGAATCAAAGGGCGGCTTCGTGTAGATGAAAATTAGTGAGGCGCTAGAGCGAACTTACTCGAATTTAGGTGAGAATAGGAAGAAAAACTTAACACACTGCAGTTAAAACTTGATAGAACGGAACGGCAGGTAAGTGTGAAAAAGGCCTGGATGAAACAAAAGAAATTAAACAAAAGAGGGCACACGTTTGTACAAAAACAACTCAAAACAGATCATCAAAAATAAAAATATAAAACGGGAGAACAACAGGCGACTAGATGTTGTCT